AGCTCTGCACCCCTCCCTTTCCTTTCGGCTCCTCTTGTTAGCCTCATCTCCTAAGGGATTTGCATCGTACTCTTTTGGCGCCGGAAGTTCTGGACGCCCGGTCCCGGAGTAGTAGCCACGGAGACCCAAGTCCTCCGGATTCTAGAGCGTCCCAGGCCTGGATGCACACGCCCTCTGGACCGCGACAGAGCCCTCACCCTATGATTCCTTTCCTCGCCATCCCGCTACGGATGGGTCATCCGGAGAAGGCAAAAGTGAGCGCTGTTAACCCCAGCGCTGGAAAGGTTCTCGGTAGCAGCTCGGGTGTTGCCCACTCCAAAGAGGTCTGGGTTTCTCAGTGAGACAAGAAAAATGTGGAGGGAGAAACTGGGATGAAACTAAGTAAATTCTGAGTGCCCGGTTAACATATATTACGCAGTTCTCAACTAAAAGCTGAAGGTTGGGTCCCGACCAGAAATGAATTTTGGCAAGTGTACATACATAGGTGTTTATGTTTGTACTTTGTAACAAAATACATGCAGAAAGTTTCCCACATCAATACATTTTCACAAACTTATTCCACGCATGTTTGATTTAAATTAAATGTTTTTAAAAAGTTGGGCATGATGGCTTACACCCTTAGTCCCAGCACTGGAGATGCAGAGGCTGGCGGATCTCTGTGTAGACCAGTATGGTCTACATACTGGGTTCCAGGCCAGCCATGGCTACACGGTGAACCCTGTTTCAAAACAGTAAGTCCTTTCGGTTTCTAGGACAGATTTTTGGGTCTGTGGCTGTTGTTACTCATTATCTATACTTAGGGGTTTCAGGAGTTTTATTATGAAATGTACATCAAAATAGAAAAGTAGGCATTGCATTTTGTTTTACTACACCCATGGATATTGAGGAGGAAGCTGGGGAGACAGTGCTTGTGTTCTGATCCCCAGCACCCATAAAAAAGCCCAGCATAACTGCACTGGTATAATACTCACTTCTGGGAAGTAGAAACAGGAGGATCCCAGAGGCTCTCTGGCTGGACAGTATAGCCAAACTAGTGAGCTCCAGGTTCAGTAAGAGACCCTATTGCAGAAATTAGGTGGTAATCGATGGAGGAATACACCCAGTGTCAACCTCAGGCCTCTGCATATACGTGCATGGGTATGCACACACGTATGAGAAAAATAAACAATAGAAAAAAACTATAGTTAGGTATATTGGTATAAGCTCCAGGACGAATACAAATTTAGAATGTGTAGACATATAATCATAGACACTTGCTATAAATTTATTTCTAATTTTCTTGACAGCATAACCCAGACTAGATGCTTTTAAATGATTTGCATTGATCATTAATTAGTGAATCATATTTGTGGAAAATGGGCATTCTGTCTCTGAGGTCTAAGTTCCTTGGTGAACTTTTTCTAGGTAACAAGGCAAACACCCTTTCCTGCCTCTGAAGCATATGCAGGACAAGTCAGAGTGTCCATGAACAGACCCCCAGCAATTCTACCCTCTGTATATACTAGAACTAAAGGTCTATGTCCTTGCAAAAATCAGTACACAAATCTTAGGAATATCCATTCATAACACCAAAAAATGAAGCTCAAATACCAATCAACTGATGAATGGACAAAAAAAAAAAGAAAAATTATTTAGAAAACTTTTAAAAAGCTGGGCATAGTGGCACACGCCTTAAATTCCAACATGGGAGCAGAAGCAGGTGGATCTCTATGAGTTTGAGGCCAGTCTGATAGAGTAAATTCTAGGCTCGGAGAGATCCTGTCTCAAAAATACAAAACTAAATAAAATAATTGGCATATTAATGCATAACACAATGTGAGGAGACCTTTAAAACATATTGCTAAGTGAAAAAAGTCAGGTACAAAAGACTACTTATTACATGACTTTTTTTTTCCCTAGGTAAAGCTTTTCTTTATGTAGCCCTGACTATCCCAAAACTTGCTCTGTAGACTAGGCTGGCCTTGAACGCAGAGATCCAGTTGTCTCTGCCTCCTGTGTGCTAGGATTAAAGGTGTGCATCACTACTGCTTGGCTACATGACTCCATTTTTACAGCATGTCCAGAGTAGGTAAATCCATAGTGTCACAGGTCAGTGTTACCCAGGGCATGGGAAAGGAAGTGGAGAAGATGCAAATGGTTCCTCTAGGGATGTAGGGTTCCTCTTAAATTCAGCATGTTCAGCTGAGACCCTACAGGTCAACTTTGGTTGAAATGCTCTGTTCAAGCAGTGTTGCGGTAGATTTGCTGTGCACCACACGCATATCTGCAGGAGAGAAGCCCTGAAGCAGCAGAGCTGAGAGAGGACTGTATCTCATGTTGCCAGATTCTTATCTGTAGGAGCTGTCCAGGATAGTCAGCACTGGTAGTGTGGAAGAATAATTCGGGCAGTGGTTTGCCTGTGTTTCAGATGGGAGATTTCCCATCAATCAGCTCTGTCACTGTCAGGCCAACATTTCCACTCAGCAGCCATGGGCTGGAACCCACCCCTGAAGGATGTAGTTTCTTCAGTTCATCACGGCCTTCACCACTCTGTCACGCCTCCCAGCCCAGGCTCAATGAACGATATCACTTTGGTGCTTGTACCTCTGTGTTCTGCATCTTATGGAAGCCAGGAAAATGAACCAGCTGAGAGGATTATGGTTTCAAAACAACAGTGAGCCCAAGCACATTGGGAGTTGGTAATGAAGACTGTAAGTGCAGCATTACACAAAGCTCACCTCTCTTGGCTACTCTCTCCTGGTTGGCTACTGGGGCATTTAGCTCAGAATTCCCAGGCTGCAGCAAGTCACTAGGAAGTTTGTGTGGGAAAAATGGCTCTTTTGAGCTGTGGTTCTGAAAGATGCTTCTGACAAACAGCTTGGGGAGCGAGTGGGATGGAAAGGCTGGAGACAAGGACGTGGTGTTCAGTGGCAGGTCAGCCCCCATGGGAGTGTGGACTGGGTAGGTAGAGAAAGTGTGAGTACAGAGCATGGCTCCATAAAAAACGTACGTGGGGAGTAGAGAGGTTCTTAGTTAGCTGACGGAAATGTCCCCAAGACAGATTCTTGGGAAGAGGAACCCACTAAGGGTGACAATGAGCAAGGAGCTTCATAGTGGAGGCCCAAGGCTGCTTACTGTCTCTGGTAATGAATCCAGGCTACTCTGAGCCTTGTCCTGCCAGCTCTTCCCA